CAAACAACGAAAATTATCAGTTTGGTAAATCATGCACTATTGTAAACCATGGAAATAAACATCTGCTAAACAGTTTATGAATGTATAATGTGCGAGAAAGTGCCAACAAAAGAAAACACATTATTAGTAGATAATCTGCGTAGTAAACATAATTTGTCCAACAACAAAAAAAAAAAGCTGTATTACTGCAACAAGTCATTCCTTTTCAGTTGATATTTTCAGTCAATCTATGTAAATAGAAATCATATTTACCATAAGAAAAGTGTCTATGTCATAAATACATTTCATTAAAATAAAATATCTAAATATTAGTGAAAAAGTTCCATTGTCTTTGGATACAGTACATTTATGGGACAACTAAAAACAATATGCTTATGCTGATGTTGAAATATATGAAAGAACAAGTGATCATACAATATGTTGAATAATATAAAATCATATCATATGACTAAAAATTGTTGCTGACAAATGGGTAAATCCTACTGGAGTGGTATGCAAGGTACAATGATTAAAAATGACAATGAATTGGTAGATTCTGGCTGCACTGTAATCAATAAAAAATACAGACTTTTAACATGTTTAGCATTTAACTGAGGAATATTTTTGTAAAGATTTCTGTATAACCACATTTTTTTCCAGTGAACTAAGATTAACAATATGTTTTGTACAAATAATTTTAGTTACATGTCATAATGATGAACAGTTCCTGCCATACTTTTAATTTATTAGATGGAAAATTAGAAATATGAACCAGCACTCAGTTATAAATAGTTGCAGTTTGATCCATTTATTTATTTTACAAACTGACCTTGAGCTTGGATTTAGCCATTGTGTTCCCATTAAATATGAATGATTAATTAAAATGTCAATAAAGATGTTTTCATAATGTTCTTTTAGTTTATTGCTTTCTTGTTTGGCCAAAGAACACCATATGGTCCTTTTGCACCAAGATATCTCCTTTTAATGGCAGATAATAAGATACATTTCATGCTGGATTTGGGTGTGTAGAAAGGAATGTTGACAGGAAAGTACACACACTTTCACATCTTCACCAAGCATTTAATAAATGTTTCCTGAATGTATTAAAATCAACTACAAAACATTTGCAAGAACTCTTTCTTTATCATCCGGTGGCCAATGTTTACCAATAAGTGCTTTACTCAATGGTTGCCTTAACTCAGGTTAGAGTTGACAGGACTTGAGAATACAAGTATAATGGATGTAGATAAGTTGTTGTAATTCAGAATGATGTTGATAAGACTTTATAACTCAAGTGTAATATACATGGTTTAAGTTTAGGGAACTTAAATATTGACGTTGATTCTCTCATTCACTCGCTTGCACACACGCAGGCACGCACACACACAATGTCCAATTTGCATGTTTGCCCACATACAAACTCCAAACAGTAATGCCAACTGGCCCAGCCAGGACTTAAACCAGCGACCTTCTTGCAGTGAGGTGACAGTGCTAACCACTGAACCACTTTGGATCATGTTCAATTTATGGGCCATGATTTATTAAATACTTAAAACAGGTTTTTGAAGTCTGCAAATACAAATTTTACCAATGAAACTATCTGAGAAGAGACACACCACAACATTACAATAGGAAAATGGTAGATAGTGTTGCCAGATACACTTGAATGTCACAAACCCTCCCAAACCCACAAAAAAATCCTTAAAAACTAAAAACACACTAGGTATACACACTTGGTTTTTTGTTAAATATTTAACATAAAATGCATGTTCAAAACATCCAAACTGATCACAAACTAATTGGTACAGTCACTTTTTACAGTGCACATGCTGCTGTATTCACCTTGCTCTCTCTCATTTTTATATCAGTAAGTAGATATCTTGGATTGGCATGATTTTGAGCAGTGCCACTGTACTTCGTAAACAATAGTATTGTCATTAACGGTCTATTTACAATACATAAAGTTGCATGTGGAAAGTCACAAACATGGTAGCTTTTACGGTAGCCTATTGCACGTTTTCTGATGCTTCAGTTCGAATGCCCATCTGAATCAGTTCATTTCTGCTCCTGTCATTTTTTTTAGTATAAAAGTAATTCATTTTCAATAATTTTTTAGATTTAGTAGCTACAACAACTGCAACAATCTCTTAAGAAGAAAAACTCACAATGTGAAATTTTGAATTACTTTGGATTCTTACCTGATAAGACTAAAAACGTTAAAAATAAATAAAAACAATAGATGAAAAGCCCAAAAGAGCAACAGGAAACATTGAAACTATTTTTGACCACTTCATATAGCCAAAATTTGTATAAAAAGAGCATTTTTGTAATAATATTCGTTCGGTATAATTTGTTTTTTTATGTATTTTTTGTTGGTCAGACATCTACAAAATAACAACAACAAAAAAACTAATGTATCATAGGTGAAGTGATGTGCAAATACTGTTTTCAATAATAAGGGAATTATGAATTCAGTTTAGGTAGACCTATTAAAACATATAGTATTTCATAAAAAAAATTTCTTTATTTCATAAATTTAATTTATGAATTGCAGTATTGCAATACTACTTGTTATATCGATACTTCAACTGGTATAATATAGTAACATGAATTATTGGTATCGTGACAACCCTAGTGTCTATGTAAGAGTGTACCTTGAATTTCTTTAATTATGGGGACCAAATATCCCCACAAATGTCATTAAATTCTTAATTTGACATTTTGTTTGGTCCCTACAAGTAAAATGGCTCATAAATCACACAGAATAAAGTGTTTTGAAAATGCAAATATGCAGATTGTTTCCCATGAGGGTTGGTGCCAGAGGTAAGGTTGGGCATTAAAATAAACAGTTAATAGAGTATTAAATTCATTATACGTCTGTGGGAATCTCCCAAAAAGGTAGCTGTACAAATGTGTGTATGTGTGTATGCTGGAGAAAGAGAGGTTGATTGAGCGCTAGCGAGCTGTCAGAATCACACCCAGACCATCCCTCATTAGTGAGCCAATACTGACCTTCTGCCTTCAACTGCTGGACTGGATCCAGATCCTGCTACACATGTTGAAGAAGTCACCCACACACACACACATACAGCAGTGTTCACCCACTCACGAATACATACAAGTGTTCCCATCATGCTTTCTATTAATTTCAATAGCTTTTATATTGCCTTAAAGATATTTTTTGATCCCCTAATCCTGTTTTCCCACAGCTTCTGATGTAAAAGGAGTGATGCACCAATGTTAAAATTCTAGCTAGTAGAAGTAACCTGAAAATGACTTAAATGTTAGAAATACATATCATTTTCTAAATAAATCACAAATAAACCAGTTAATATTCAACTTGTGAATGGATGAACTGATTGACATTCAACAGCACTTGTTGTTTCTTAAATATTAGTTTAATTCAGTTCAATTTCAGAAAAGATTCAATGCAAAATCAGTAATAATAATCCAATAATAATAAAATTCTCAATATTTATCTAATACTATAAACAGACTAAACTACACAACCATTAATACCTCCAATATCCCATCTACAGTAAATTAATAAGTGGACTTTAAAGTTGTACTTGTTTGTTTTTAATAAACTACTGGTTATTTTATTTACTGTAAAAAATAAACAATATTTTCTGTATATTTTCTGTATTTTCTGTACAGAATTTTCCAGTTTTTTTATTATACAGTGAAATACCTCTTGTTTTACAGATATTTTCTGTAATAAAAAAAATCTAACATTAAATTTACAGTTATTGCTTGTTTTTTGGTATTACATTATTTTTCTGTTTTTTTAAAGGAAATGTTCTGTATTTTCAGAGAGCAACACGTCATTTTACGTTAATATTTATAGATTATTCCTGTAAAAATAGAGAAACAAAAATTCAGTCAAATTGTTTTTAGTAAAATAATTGAATCATATGAAGATTAACATGAGGTTAATAATGTCAAATAATAGCCTATTGTTTGTAGGCTGCATATAATGCATGCACTGTAAGCTATAAAATGTTTATTTTACTACTCTGACAAGGTTGTTATGCTAATTTTTACAATCACCAGTGATCTAGCAGCTGCGGATCACTGGAAAAATAAACACTATTTTAACGAACTACAACTCCCAGCATGCACCTTGCACCCGGGTTCCTAATTCTGACTGATTACACACACAGTCAGAAGATCGTTATGGACTGGTTTCAAGGACTATAAACTCAGCACACACAGGCACATCGTTGAGTCTTAAACTGTTTAGTGAGCATTAGGACGTGTTTCCCCTTGCCTTGCCCCATTTGACCCCTTTACTTTGTTATTTTGTTTGCCACCTTTACGTTTGGGATTATTTGTATGCACCTGTTTGTTCCTGTTTCAACTTTTAATTGCAAGATGTTTCTCTTAATAAACTGCTATTTGAAGCCCAACTTTGTTGTGCAGGCGTCCTTACATGACACTAACCTTGTTTTTGTTGTCAAATGATGACCAAATGTGTTATTTAAAAAAATAAATAAATAAATAAAATAAATAAAAAATTTGATATATAACAATTTTGTATTTTTTAAGCAATTTGTTTTAAAGTTTAACCTACATTCCCTAAAAATATTTTCAAACTATAGTATAGTTTATAGTTATATTTCCAGTGTTTTATGAAAACAGATTTAAATGTATGTTAAAAGTGGAGAAATTGATGGAATTTTTATAGATTTCATGCATAATTACATGAAAGTTGGTTCATGTAATCTGTTCCACATCATTGTTTACCTGACAATACATATAATTCTGTAGATAATGAGGACTCTATAGACTATATTATTATTAAACTGTTATTATTAAAATTGTATCCCATCCATCTGCTAAACAAATTTATGAATGTCAAAAAACTGTTTAGTATTACTTTTTTTTAGCCTTTTAATTTAATGTCCTCATAACCCATGTTGTAATAAGCACACACACACAAACACACCTCCCTTTTCCATTCTCCCTGCTCTCTCTCTCTCTCTCTCTCTCTCGCTCACTCTCTCTCTCCCTCCCTCAGTCAGTCTGCGCTCAGTTTAAGTGCTGGGACTCGGAGTGTGGAAAGCAGAGGGCAGAAGTGTGTGTGTGTGTGTGTTTCCTCTCCTCCCTTTCACCTCCGTTCATCTTCTCTCTCTCAGATGACAGTCTGAACACAAACTGCAAACAGCAGGATGAATGCGTACCTGTACAAGAGCTCCGGACTCCATCCAAAAGACCCATTCAACATGCTGTAACATCAGGAAAACTGGCTCTGCAAGACAACAACACACACAGAGGTAAGACGGAGTATCTCTGCTTCTCATTAACAACAAAAAAGGCTCTTTTCTGTCTGTTACCAAATCCCCTGTTTAACTCAAGTTTAGCTTTTTTCCTTCTTCACACAAGTAATTTCGCACATTGATGTGGCGATTGATTGTTTTGAAGCTCACACTGTGGATTATTGCGAAAGCGTCAGACACGTTTGTTCAGGAGATATCATTACATCGGCTCTTGAAGCTTCGGATAATTAGAAAGGTGAAAGATGACCTGCTAATGATGTGTTTGTGGAAAGAGAGCGTCTGGAGGGATGGTAACTTGGAAACAGGAGCGTGGAGTTTCTTTAATGGGGGGAAATGTAATGAACTTGTCTGTTCGGTATCCGTTCGGTCTCTGTGTGCATTTCGTGGATGACTGAAGTTTCCCAGCAGCCCTTCACAAGTACTAATTGGGTTCCCCACCTCTGCTGTTTCTCACACTAGGTGCGAGACTGTGTGTGTTGATATACTTGAGTATGCTTTATTTGATCAGACTATGTTCTCATCTGAGCAATGAGTTTGGACGGAGCCCTGAAGCTGGGTTTTATAGAGAGCCACTGCAAGCTGTCAGAAACACTAACAGCTTGATGACACATATCTAGCGTTATCATAATTATTACAGAACTTAACTGTTCTTGAAAATTAATAATAAATATAATGATAATAGTAATTGTTATAATTATTATAAATTATAAAAACAATACATCTAGATAAACAACACAGGCAAATAATGCATTACATAAAATGTTTTCTTTCATAAAATGCACTCCAGTAATCTCGTTTAAGCCTTATTTACAACTTTCACTACTTGTTGTAAATTTCTTCTGATATTTATTCAATATTTTATCTGCGCTTCATTTATAATGTTGGCATAGATTAAGGCTACGATTACATGGCAAAGGGGTAGCCAAATACACAAAGGTTTTTCCTTTAAATTTTAAACAAATTTCACAATTACACAATAATATTTTCAAAATGATCTGCGTTCATTAAAAAAATGCCAGAAATGCTGTATTATGTATGCCAGGACAGTATTTGACACTGTTACTTCTGGCAATTTTGCACTTACAGTATGTTTATTTAGAAACTGCCATGCGTATGGTGTGTCTCGTTGAGTGAAATGCAAAGTAAAGCTGTGGTCACACTGGATTGAGCATGCGAAATTCTGTCGTACAGCATTGCGAAAATGGGCGGGATCAAACAAGATGGTTATACATTAAAAAATCGATTGGTCCATATATAAAATTTCTGTTCAGGGAGGTCATGTTTTGATCTTCTGTTTTTCTCACACAATCACATGATGCGATTTCACAGGGCAGAATTCCCCAAGCTTGAATTCTCCAACGCAGCGAACTGCAAAACATGTCGCACGAGATTGCGTTTCCGGTCTGTAGGAAGTCTACAGGGAAAAAAGTCCAGTGTGACCATGGCTTAAACACTTGAGCAATAACAACTCTACCAATATTTATACATTTTCAGTCCCCAAAATAAAGTTGTCGTGTAAACAAACAGGCAAAACACATGAAGTTTACTTTTTTTTTTACTGAAAACGTTGTGTTAATTGCTCCTTCATTAATATTAATGCTGCTGATATCCATAACTTTGTGGGTGTTTAGTCATTTTTGATTAAAAACTGAAAACTTTTAAACGTATTTACATGAAAACAACTTATTATGGGCCTAAAAATGCTACATTTTGAAAAGTGCAAGTTAGCGAAAATGATAGCGTTATCGCTTTAGTGTACACTGCAAAAATTAAATTTTGTGGAATTTGTGACGTCATGCACATTTATATTACAGTCTGTATGCAGCATACTGTACAGTAGGCTTATTCTGAAAACATAGCCCTACAGTATATACGTTTCTGGAGATTGCATTTTATGTAGCCAGAAGTATGTTTGGCTGCATTTCATTTTTTAAATAAACGCTTTGGGGCGGTATGAAGCCGTTGCTTTTCGCTCTTACCAGCTGACCACACCTCCATATGGACGGATTTCCCACTGTAACCAGTTTGTCCGGTTAGCTTACCATGTACATTGGTGGACTTGAGACTCAGAGAGGAGATGACCACGATGACATGGTTCGAGTCTGGTTAAGAATGATTCCAGAAAGCAGGTAAATCCAAAAACAGAATCGAAAAATTTAAATAAACGAGTAAATAACAGGGTGAGAATGTGGTAAAACGTTGTAAAAATCAGGCGAGGGCTTTTCTTTTTCTGGATTGCTTTTTAAAATTGTCGGTTAAATTTAGGGAAGTGGGTGGTTGGGTCAATCTGTGGTTTTGAAAACACTATTGGTTGGGTTTAGGGAAGGAGGAGAATGGGTCAGTCGATCTAGCAGTCCGTCAGTCATTCAGTCAGTCAAACAGTCAGTTGACAGCAGCCTCTGGTGGATTTGCGCGAGAACAGCAGACGCGAATGGTACTCGCAAGAGAAATTTGGCACTCAAAAAGTGAACACAACGACCTCTGGTGGGTTCGCGAAAACAAAAACTGCAAAATAAAGTAGCTCCTGTAATGTATTTGGTGCTCTCCAGAAATGCATATAGAGGTATGTTTTCAGAATGAGCCTGGTTTTTCTTTGCATGTTTGAGTACCTCACAACCAAAACAACAACATTGGGCCATGTGCAGATGTGCATTGTGTTTCTTTACAAAATGTCATTGCCACCTACTGGCCTGACATGCAGAATACAGCATTTTAAGTCATTTGTGGATTTACTGTATGTGAATGAGGATCCTTTTAACAATGTTACTACATCAGAGTTGTGAAAACGTTGTTTATGTGAACCAACAGAAAATGTGTCCGCAATCTGAAAGATATGAATGGTGCAGACTAAATGCTCAGTTTTGATGTATAGCACAAACATAGATGATAGCAAATATTGAGAAATGTATGCTAAATTTTGGAGACTGACCAATCAGAATCAAGTATTCCACATCACCCGTGTAAAAATTTTAAATTACAATCTTTAAAATGTGAGAAATGCATCCGTAAAAGCAAACCCCTCAGCCCATAGAGATGCATCAATGATCTCTTTTTTGTGTGTGTGGATGAACCTGCATTTCCAGTATGAGTTTTGCAAGAAGTCCGCCATCCCCAAGTTTAAATTAATTAGTGTGTCTTTATTATTTGCTCCCTTTGGAAACACTTTCTTGTAAATTCGAACTCCATCTCTCTGAATCAGAAGCCAAATTTAGTCACCTAATTTTAGTCCGGACACGTCATCTCTCTTAGGTGAGAAATACATTTAGGAGGAGAACAAAGGGGCTGGATTTAATGAAAGCCATAATTCAGCCCCTTTTTTGCCCTAGCAGCACTAGTTATCTGCCTTTCACAGAAACAGACAGAAAGAGAGAGACCCTTCTCAATTACAAACAACCCTCTGTGAATGTCTGGTTTTGCTGTGACTACAAGACCACTAGAAAGGCAAAAACCCTCTGATTTCTGAAATCCGCCCAGAGTATGTCCTAGTATTACACCTGATGCTTTGCTTTAAAGACTGATCTGCCTCGGGCAGAGCTTCGATTCGATCACACTGCAGGTAAAAGTCTTCCCTCGGGCTCTCGATTTACACACAAGTCCGTCTGAGTCGCTTAAAGACAATGTGTGTTAATGTGCAGAGCGAATAAGACTTTCTCCATCATTCTCACATTACAGAGGCAAACTGGCACGGAGGAGTAATAAAAGAGCTCTTTAGTTGCACCGCTATGAAAGTGGGAGAGAGAGTGAATTAGGCATAAATGGACACAGAAAGAAGGGATATAAAAGCTATTTGCAGCTGTTGATCTCTCATTTAAATGAGCAATCAGTGCCGCTCACCTGATCCATGTTTGGAAAATGGAGAACGAAATTTGGATGAGAGTAAAACGACCAGTTTATGGCTATTACTCTCCATAGACTGTTTTTTTTAGGACACTTTCACACCCAAAAAATGTGTGAAAGTTTTAATATAAAGCATAAAATATTATTTAAACGTCCTTTATATTTTATTATGGGCTTTTATTTTGTTAATTAACTCAAATCGTTATAGGACATATTTGTGTCAATATATACTTTTCTTAGACTCTAAATTTTCTAAATTTAGTTTTTTTTAAGGTTAATAATTTAGGTTAATAATTACCATTATTGTATTTTAAATGTTCATAATAAAATAGTATTCATAATAATAATAATAATAATAATAATAATTACAACAACATTATCATGATCACTATTATTGTTTTATTATTATTAGTAGTAGTAGTAGTAATAATTATAGTAATCACATTAATAATAATAATAACAACAATAATAATATTCATTATAATATTATTGTTATTGTTATTATTATTATTAGTAGTAGTAGTAGTAGTAGTAGTAGTTGTTGTTGTAGTTGTAGTAGTAGTAACGATAATAATAATAATCATCATCATCATCTTCTTCATCATCACCATCATCATAATCAATAAAATATTTATAATACTAATTACAATATTATTATGATGACTATTACTATTTTATTAGTAGTAGTGGTAATAATATTAAGAATAATAACAATAATAATCATCATCATAATATTATTGCTGCTATTATTATTATTAGTAGAAGTAGTTGTTGTTGTTGGTTTTATTATTATTATTGTTAGTAGTAGTAGTAGTAGTAGTAGTAGTAGTAATGATAAATAAAAAATAGAAGTAATATTATTAATAATAATAATAATAATAATAATAACAATAACAATAATAATAATAATGATCATAATATTAATAATAATAATGATAATAATAATAATAATAATAATAATAATAATAATAATAATAATAATAATAATGTATAATTTGTAAACCTGCATTTTATTTATTTAATTTTAACTAATGCATTTAATTTAGTTTTTATTAAAGCTGATTTATTATTCACTAAAGCAATAAAAATAGTAATACATTATTTAAAGCAATAAATTAGGATTAACATTATGCTGTTTAGTGAGTGGTAAATTGTGAGCA